GTATCCTTCCGGAGAAGATTCGAAAATGGCTGTGCCATTTCCGCATAATTTGAGCTATATTTGTGCACGTATTTGGTGAGGCCAAGCCACTTGCGAAAGTCCTTTTGATTGTTTGGATCCGGCCAGTTAACAATGGAAGCGGAGTCCGCTCGAAGCCCACGCTTCCCAATGAAGCCCTCTAGAAAGTGGATTTTCTCAGCGCCCAAGATGAGCTTATCGGCATAAAGCATACAGCTATTTCGTGCGCATGCACTCGAGCACCGTTCTCAAATGGAAAATGTCGCTCTTTAAATTTTGCCATAATTCTACGTGATTTGAGGTACTCCCAGTGGTTTAGAGTCACGTCGCTACATTGGTGTAGAGAGTATTTCAGCTGCAAGAGGTTGTGGAGACGCTGCTCGGTCTACAACAGAGTTCTTCAAATCCGACTGGCTTGTGAGAGAAATCATAGTACGGCTTCAGTGATCTCACGTGAACACGGGGCATGCTTCCTTTTTTCCTTAGCGTATCAAGAAAAGACCTTCATTTGTTTTCTGCTAAGACTGTGAATGACCCAGTGCAGCGCGGTGGCAACTTAGTTGTATAGACTGCACCACTGCATTTGTACGTAGGTTGATTGCTATCAGTGAGACATTTTGCTCCACAGCAAATTAACGTTCGCATTCCTCTGGCATATTGCTTTTCATTGTCTTGGCGCTCACTCATTCCCACTGAGATGAAATTACAAACTTTTGCTACGAAGCGTAGCTAGTCTGACATCAGCAAGTCAAATATGATAAACACTTTCCCCAACTAAGACCAGAGTCGCTTTGTGGGCGTGTCAAAAGTACTCGGTGGTGTACCAAACCATTTATGTAACGTGAAGTCTGTAGCGGCATGTACTTTGAAATTCAGCACCAACTCGAGAAGTTGGAGTAGCCCGCTCTATCACTTCAGGATCTCTGCGCAAATGTAAGAAGGCTTCACGTGATCTGGTATGAATGGTGTGGCTACACTTAAACAACAAGTCAGTACGGGGCTGGAACAGCCAGTAGTTAAACATTAAGTAGGATTTGCTATATAGATAAGAAAACCTAAAGATTTTGATATAGGCGGCTTTGCCGCGAATAAATTCAAGAAATGCAATTTACACTTTAAACGGAAAAGTTTATTAGCCTTGGATTAAGGTTGTAGTTACTCTTGGAGTAAGCAGATTGCAATCTGCTATACTCGTACTGGTTCTATGTAAAGACAAAGGTCACCGAACTATACCAAGCTTTCTCAAAGCAAAATAGCTAAGGGAGCCCACTCCAGCAAGTGCTTCGAGTAATATATTCCACCATCCGCTCACATGCTCTGTCTGATCATCTTTCTGCGGGAGGCTAGCGATAATCATATCCATTCTGGTGTCAAGCACCTAGAACAATATTCACCGAAAGCTCGCTGCAAAGCGCGAACATCTATCCGATACATTGTCTTCAGGCGCACCGTGTTGGCAAATGACTTGTCGAGGAAACGTATGGCAGTATGCTTATCGGATAAACGATCGTTGACAGGAACAAAATGAGCCATTCTGCTCATGCGGTCTACAAAAATCACAATGTCGATATTTTTAAACGCGTCTTTTGGAGTTGCGAGAAAATCATAGAAGCAGACTGCCAACACACCGTATGTGGCAAATTCCAATAGTTGAAACATTTACCGCGTGCGCACATACATACATACGTGTTGAGCCTCCAAAACATAGTGACCACCGGGCAGTATGTCTAATCTCTACCGATACGCCCATACGACCACGTGCGCACATACATTTATACGTGTTGGTCCACCAATACATAATGATAACCGGGCAGTATGTATTGTTTCTATCGATGCCACCATATCATGTGCCTCACATATTTGAAGTCCTTAAGGTGAGGCATCACTGCGCGCTGAGTGTCGTGTAGGTTCATACTCAATACGGCAAGCGTTCGATGATGCAGGCATGCCATCACACTCTTGTAAACAGCGACATATCAGACGCATTGCTTTAATAGGCGTTCGGCAACGCAGCACATGTCGCGTCTGACCCATACGCTGAACGTATCGCCCCACCTTGGTGATGTCCCAATCGTGTCATGCAACAATTTATACTTCAATCGACACAAAAGCGCATCTGCCACCACATAAAGACAACCCAATGTATATCTTACCTCAAATACATACTCGGCGAAAAAAGACATTTGTCTTGCTATTCTCGGTGAGAGATGCGGTGACGACATCGTTGTGCGCGACGACGCATGATCTATATAAATCAAAAACGGCTCAGAGACAAGCAAATGTACATTGTATTGACAAGATCATACTTTATTGCGTGTAGCTTCTTATCACGAGCAGTCGTTACAGACTTAGAGCTTTTCTATCTCAGTCTATCACCATATTTCATTCTTGTAAGGAGGCTGGCGAAAGCTCGTGCCATGTCGGCATAGTTTTCGCTGTTCTTGTGCTAGTTGTTGGTTCAGCCAAACAACTTTCTCTCGTCAATTGGAGTAGATGGCCTAGTCAATCTATAATTAACATTATCTTGCGAAACCTGTCCGCAAGCCCTGCATCCTAATGAAGTAACCCAGATAATAAATTTCGTCGACGCCTATAAAAAACTTATCTATTTTAGAAAAGCTTACTTAAATGTAAGACTAAAGCATTGCTCACGAATTCGAACGATCTAATCTCCTTGCTCTGCAAGAATAAGGCCGGATTCATGGTAAAATATTGCGTATAGTCACGAAGTAGATTGAACAGCTGTGTAACCAGAAATTTGAATATTGCTGGTGCATTAAACAATCCTCGTGGTATAACCAGCCACTCTAAAGCACCCTTTATGGGGTCCTCACCTTATTTAGATAGATGTCGCTGTCCCTCACATATAATATCCAGAATTGACAACAGCGCACCCGACCATGCTGTTCTGCGGCACATCATTCTTTGATAGTGTCGGAATTGTGGATGCATTGAGATCGCAATAAGTGTGCTCAATTCCCCACTTGCCGTTAACCTT